TATCAAATTAGCATTAAATTTCTTAATTTAACCTTCAATTCTACTAAATTTGCATTCAATTTAATTCCATTAACATTTAATTCATCTAATATACATTCAAAATGACCTTAAATTTCTTTATATTAATAGTCAATTTCATACAATTAACAATAAATTTATCAAATTAATATTTAGTTTCATCAAGTTAACATTCAATTCATCATATTATCACCAAAATAATCAACTTACCATTTAGTTCTTGCTTTTTGTGAAATTGAATTTTGAATTGTTAAAATTAAATATTAATTTGGTGTTTATTTGATGGATTGGATCTCAATAAGATGAAATTAAATGTCAAATTCATGAATGTTAATGTTAATTTGATAAAATTGACTGTCAATTTGATGTTAATTTTATGAAATTCAATTTTAAAAAATAAAATTGAAGATTAATTTCATATTAATTTGAAGAAATTAAAACTGTAATTGATGAAATCAAATATTAATTTATGTTGATTTAATGAATTGAATCTTAATCGGATGAAATTGATTGTCAATTTGATGAATTTTGAAATTAATTTAACAAAATTGACAATTAATTTGGTGTTGATTTAATGAAATTAAATGTTAATTTAATATTGATTTAATGAATTGTTCATCAAATTAGATGCAATTGATTATTAACTTGATAAAATTGTTTGTCAATTTAGTATTAATTTGATGAAAATGAATTTTAATAAGTAAAATTAAAGGAGAATTTGATGATTTTTTTTTAGAGGGGGATAGAGACTTGAACCCTTAACTTCAAGAAGACAAAATTTTTACGAGACAAAGAGTACTATTAAATCAAAAGACCCATTGAACCAGACTCCTATGCCCTTCTCTCAGCTCATCAAGCATTCATGGCTGTTTTTTAATGCAACCCTATTATGAGCTGAGTTTTAAGACAAATGCATTAAAGCTCCCATGCTTTATAATTTTTATTATTTCTATAATTCTTGTATCATGCATGCATTGCTTCTGTTATTTTATTTCATGTAATTATATTACATCGAGGGGTAAGGTACATACGTCCCTCTGATTAGGTGTAATTTAATTTTTTAATCAACAAAATTTTCTTGTACCATCAAGGTTCCACCCAAAAAAAAAAAAACCAAAGGCCCATTGATGATGTTAATTTGATAAAATTGAATTTTGACATGGTAAAATGAATGGTCAATTTAGTGTTAATTTGATGAAATTGAATTTTAATAAATAAAGTTGACAATGAATTTGATATTAATTTGACGAAATTACATTTTGAATTGATGATATCTAATATTAATTTAGTGTTGATTTAATGGATTAGATGAAATTGGATATTAAATTCATAAAATTTTATATTTAATTTGATAAAATTGGTTGTCTGTATGGTGTTAAATTTCTGAAACTATAAATAAATTAAACTGAAAGCTAATTTATTTTTAATTTGATGCAATTTAATTGTAATTTGAGGAAATCAAATGTTAATTTGTTGTTTGTTTAGATGAAATTAAATTTTAAAATTTAAAATTTCAATGTTAATTTGATAATATTAACAATCAAGTTAGTTTTATTTGGATGAAATTGAGTTTTAAGAAATAAAATTTATGGTAAACTTATTATTAAATATAAATTAGAAAGGCTATTAGTGACGATCAATTTGGTGATAATTGCAAATTTAAGAATTTCATTGTTAATTTGGTAAAATTGACAGTCAATTTGGTGATCATTTGATGAAATTGAAATTTAATAAATAAAATGGAAGGTGAATTTGGTGTTAATTTGATAAAATTAAATATTATAGTATCAAAAAAATATTTTTAATTGATATGAATTTTAATCAGTAAAAAAATACAAATTCAATCGACTGATCGATCAGATTTTAGAATGATCTGAAATTCATTGTAATATTATTACAAATGATGGTATTTTCGATCCAAATATCATTCAATTTATCAAATCAACATTTAAATTCTTCGAATTAACATTTAATTAATCAAAGTAACACTATATTAACATTAAATTCATCTAATTAACATTATATTTATATCAAATTAACATCAAAATTCATCAAATTCAAGTTCACTTAATTAAATTCAATCCACCAAATTTATATCAAATTAACATTTAGTTTCTTCCAATTAATATTCAATTCGTCAAATTAACTTTAAGTTCATCCAATTTATAATCAAACTCCTCTAGTTAACAATCAATTCATCAAATTAATATTCAAATTCACCCAATAAATATTCAATCACAAATGTTATCGGGACTTATTTAACCCAACTAATAGTCAATTTTATTAAATTAACATTCAAATTTAAGTGACTAACATCAAATTCATCATATTAACATCCAAAATACTCAATTAATATTCAATTCATCAAATTAAAACCAAATTAACATTTTATCCATCCAAATTAAATTTAAATTCATCGTATTAACACTCAATTCATGAAATTAAACTACAAAATTATCTAATAAACATTAAATCCATCCAATTGTCATTCACTTCATCCAACTAACATCAGATTAACACATAAATTAATTCAATTAGCATTCAATTTATCAAATTAAGAATAAATTATCACTCAACTTCATCAAGTTAAAATTCAATCTTATTTAATTAATATTTAATTCATCAAATTTAACTATTTCTCATTAACTTCATCAGATCAACATCCAAATTAATTCAATTAGTATTCAATTCATCAAATTAACCCAAATGTAATATTTAATGAATCCAATTTATATTTAATTCATACAATTAATATTCAATGTCATCCAATTAGCATTCAATGTATCAAATTAATATTCAATTTTAAATAATTAACATTTAATTCATCAAATTAACATCTAATATCATCTAATATCATTAAATTCATCAAACTAATAAGAAATTAATATACAGTTCATCAAATTAATATAAAATTTATATTTAATGTTAAAATGCCAAAAAATATTTGTCTACATATTAAAATTCAAGTTGACTAAATTTCATTTTTCTACATATTAAAAAATGAGCCAATTAAAATTCAAATTCGAGTTGATTAAAATTTTGAGCTCAACCTGAGCTACTAGTGCCTAGAACTAATTAAAATTTGATTCGAGTCAATTATATTTGTAATTTTTTACTTCTTAAAATTTGATTCAAGTTGATGAAAATCTATTTTTTACGTATTAAAATTTTAATAAGTAAAAAATAACGTGATGCTAGTCTGTGGACGAAATTTGGTTACTAAATTAATGTTTATTTACTAAAATTGGCGGCCAAGTTGGTATTAATTTTATGAAATTAAATTTTAATAAATAAAATTGAAGGTGGATTTTATATTAATTGTAGTGAAAGTGAATTTTGAATTGGTGAAATTGAATGTTTATTTGTTGTAAAATTTTAAATTTTATTTTGAATTGACAAAATTTTTAGTTGGTGAAATTAAATTTTATGAAGTTTATGATCTATCACAAGAACTTGAGATATATCAGAATGATACAGTAGTCTCTCCAAAAGTGATTTCCTAAGAGATTGTGATCGATCATAGAGTGAAATGATAGATTATTGTACTTCATGATAAATTTTTTTTTCTAAGAAGAAAAATTGCGGTTGATCCTATGTTTTTATGATAAATCATAGTACTATATTTTTTGTGATCTATCCCAATAGATTAGGATCTATTGCAAAAGTTTAGAATATACCTTAAAATGTTAAAAGAATGTTTGAGATCGATCACAAGTATCCCTAACTTATTTTTTTTGAAAAATTGCAAGTTTGAGATCGATCACAATTGTCTATGATCGATCACAAGGTTACTAGAGTGAGATTTAACAAAAGTGTGAACAATTTACCACAATTAAGGACATATTTATCACCTTTGAGGGTAAGTTTACAATAATTGTGGATAAATTTACAAGTTTAGAAGTTAATTTACGACTATGCTGATTAATATTACTACTGTTTTGGTTAATATTATGACAATTCTGGGTAATATTACAAGGATTAAGGGTAAATTTTATGATACAATAAGTTAAAACTATGGTAACTAAATTTATCACAATTGGGGAAAGGTTATGACATCAAAAGAAAAATTTAATATAATTCATGGTTAAATACAATGATTATGTAAAATTTCTCACTAATGTCATAAATTTTTTATTGATGTTGTAATTTTGTCAACTGCTGTGATAATTTTTCCCATAAATATTTTAAGCTTAGAATGATTGTAGTTAAGGTTATTAGTACATAAACAAATTTCATTTTCATTTTGGTTAATATTACAAGAACTGTAGATAATAATGCAAACTTAAAGGTAAATTTATGACATCAGTAAGATGCACTAGTATTATATTTACGACTAATGTGGTTAAAAGTGTCAATTGTATTTTTACTACCATATTGATTAAAGTTTGCTTACTACTGTTGTAATTTATCCCTTACTGTTGTAAATTTTTTATTGATGTTGTAAATTTGCAACTACTTTTGTAAATTTTTTCACTGATATTGTAATTTTTTAACTGATCGATCAATCAATATTAGTAATCGATCACAAACCCACAAAATATAATTTTAGTACTACAAATAATGGTAAAAATTTGCTCACTGTTGTAGTAATTGTACCAATTATTGTAATAAATTGTCTATTGATGTTATAATTTTACCTATTATTATTATAAATTTTTTATTGATATTATAATTTTTATTATTATTATAATAATTTTGTTTACTACTGTAAATTTTTTACTAATATTATAATTTTATTTTTGTTAATTATAGCCATAAATTTTTTACTAATATTATAATTTTATTCTCAATTGATAGCTTTTAGTATGGTGTCGAAATATTCTATTTCCGTACCGTACTGGTCCTCCAGAAAATAGACACCCAACATGGCCATGAAGAACAATATTCACTAATGATGATACGATGGGGAAAGAGAGAGAAAAGGTCATGTCATGATAGTGATGTGCATGAATGAATGGATTCATGGGCGTGAGTAGACGTACATGTCTAAGCATCTGGTTCTCATTTTGCGAAGTGGACAGCCTCTCTTCAAGCTCAGAATTCTTCTTCTCCAAGTCTTCAACCCTTGCCTCCAACTCAGTTAGGTACACCTTCTTTCTCTCTCTTGCTTGTTGTGCTGAAACTCTGTTCCTCAGCAACCTTTTCCCACATTTCACGACAAGGGAACTCAAAATTACCAAAATGCCACTAGTACCCAAATAGATTGCAAAATGTTCTAACAGCCATACTGCCTGTAAATCCACTATCATCATGCCACGTCAGATGCCCAATCAAGTGGGTGGGCAATATGCTAGCGTGACAAGATCTGGTGTGTAAGGATTCGAAGTAAATTTTTTTGACAAATTACACTTTTACCCGTTCAATCATGACATTGATCTCCTGTCCACCTCTCAACTATCAAATTTCTCTCGACTACTAGGATTTTGTAACCAAACTTACATCTTTAATATATATGTAATTAAGACAATGTAAAATCAATAACTATGGTTGGAGAGGTAATGTGGAATAACTTCATTTTAAGGGATCCTCTGTAAAGGAACAGCCATAATTTTAAGAACGAGGTGAAAAATGAGAAATGTGATAATTGAGGGGGTCAAATTGACCATCAAACTTACCTCTTCAATCGCTTGTTTTCTTTGTCAGCCGGGCTTTTACCTCTCTTCCTTCGACCCTCTGCTGAGGGCTGAACCCGGTCCGGACCGGCAACTGAACCCCCGTCCCGGCAGGAAGCCGACGGGCCTGCTGCTTCTCCACCAATCTCCGGCACTCTCCTGATCTCGTCATCACTCTCCATACCTACATAAATCATAAATTATTAGAATGTAACACATTTATATTGTTGTCAATCGCGAGATCTTTCTGTGGAATAAACTTTTCCGAGAAATTGCAAACACCAAGATAAAAAATTCTCTCAATCTTCAAATGTCAGATTGAAAATTTCTAAATTACATGAGAAATATTTGTCCAAAACACAGATGTAAAATTTAAAATCTATTCGTACTGATATACGTACATGTCTATACAAGCAATGTTAAAATTTCAGGAATTATTATCAAACAATTCAAATTTCAGAAGAAAAACTGAGGCAAAATGAGAGAGAGAAAATACCTTCTTTGACCTCAATTTGAAGAGCAGAGCTGGAAGATCTTTCACTGCTTGAAGGCAGAGAACTTGTTGCAACGGAATTCATTGTTTGCTCTTGCATTTCCCTTATTGAAACCAGAAAGAATACAGAGAGAAAGAAACAGATTGAGAGAGACGAAGAGTGAGTGAGAGGATTTTTGGTTGTCAGAGAAAGAAAAAAAGAGAGAAAAAGGGCGGGATATTAATGTTAAAGTGGGACGTGAAGAAAGAGTAGGAGAGCGATGGGGTTATCGTATCCCGTTGGATTATGTAAAATCCGACGGTTATAAAGTGATGAGCGTGGAAGCGTTGTGAGCCATAAGGAGTTGGGTTAATCAAAGGCTGATGGATAGGACTCGTGGACTAATATGGGACGTTGGATTTATTAATGATCGACGGCAGGATAGGCAATATTATGTTTTCAGTTCCATAATAAATCTATTTATTTACACTTGGTCCATGACTCAATGCACATGCACATGAACATCAATATATTATTAGAACAAAAAACTCCGGAAACATAAAATATAATAATAGTCTACATCGCTTAAATCTGCCAATTAATTTTATAATTTATATTTTAATATTTTAATCACAATAAACATTTTACTCATACACAACTTTCAACAATATTAATATTTTAACCAAAATAATTATTTTAACAACTCACTTATGTTTTAATCGTGGTAAAAAAATATATGCTTTGTATGAAAATATCCTATTAACTTTTCTATTTTATCATAATGCAGAAAGTATGCATTTCCTATGATGTTTGATATAACTAAAAATTAAATACTAAAAATTAAATGTTGAATTTTAATTAAGTGCTGAATACTGAAATTTTAATTAGCAGACCATTTAGTATTTACTGAAATTTAAGTGTTAATTTAAATCAAACTGTTTGACAAATATACACCGTAACAATCTTATTTCTACCAACACCATTCATCATCACAATGGGAGCGGCGATAGCGGTGGTGACAACACAATAGTGTTGATAGTAGTGGTGACGGTGGTGACGACGACGACACAATAGTGGTGATGGTAATAATAGTGGTTATGGCGGCATGATGGTGGTGACAGTGACGGCACAATGGAGGTGACAATGACCGTGGCGGCGACACAATGGTGGCGACGGTGGTGGTGGATATTGAAGAGTATAAAATACATTGAGTATATGTATTTGTGTACTATGAGGAATTTATAAAATTTTTAGTGACTAAAAATTTCAGCATTGAAGTGATAAGTATGTAGTTAGCTACTTAAAATTTTAGAATATTTTTAAAAGTTGTTTAAAACATTAAGTATTATGAGTTTTAAATTATCAAACGAATTTAATTCATTAAGTGTTTAAAATATTCAATTTTAAATATTAAATAATGTTATCAAGTTCCTCTTTTAAGAGGGATTGGTCGGTGGGTCTCTCTCTGGTCAGTTGCATTGAGTTGCTTATGATGTGTGGATTATGTGTGTGTATATGTGCTTGCCTTTGTCCAAAAAAATAATGTTATCAAATAGACACTTATTTGAAGGACATCTCATAAAGAAAGTCTAAGTGTCTAACCTTAAATTTTTTTTTTTTTTTAAGTGGAAAAAGGTAATCTAACCCTTAAACTTACTACTAAAAAAAGAGATTTTTTTTTTTTTTTTGATATCATGCTAAAAAATATATAATTTAATTTTCAAATACTATATGTTTTGATAGACCATAATTTTTTAAGTTGTAATTCAACCCTCAACAATTATAATTTGATCCTTAATAATATTATTTTTGGTACATTACCAAAAGAAGTACCGTCTTGCCCAACTTATTAAACATTTTACACAAAAGTTATCAAGTAATGTGAAATTGGATCACGACAATATTAATGTGGTCGGTTAATTATTCTTTTTCATCGCAAACAAATTACCAATCATAACAAGTATTGTAGATCTACTTTGTGATGGTGGACAAAACAAAGCAATAGTCATTGCCAATAGCTAGTGAGGTTTGAATGGACATAACCCGGACGGCAGCAATTGATAAAGAGACGAGTAGAAGAAAACGGTAATGGGGACTTTTAGTTGAATCCTAAACAAAAACATTCTTCTGCATAATTACATTTACAAAATACTAAGATACACACACACACCCGCAAAAGCACATGCCAAAACATTCATACTCACATGATAAGATCCCATGCTATGGCCTTTTTCCTTATGTTTCTCTCTTCTTCTCTCTCTATTTATAAGTTCAATACCATTCATGACTGAGAGCAAGAAAAGAGCCATTGATGTCCGCAATGGCTCAATTACAAAGGTCTTCGAAGTCGTTTAGGCGACAAGGCTCGTCTGGTTCGATTTGGGATGAGAAATTAAATTCCGAGGAAATAAAGAAACTAATGCAAAATGAAGGGAAGGTTGATCAGAGAGAGCTAAGGCATTGCCAAAGCATCGGAGGCGTTGGGACGATCAATTATGGCATATCAAATGCAGCAGTGCCCTCCGTTTATTGGCGCAGTTTTTCTACTCCGGCTATGATGATGTTGAAGAAAAAGAAGAAACCTTATGAAGAATCGGGTGAATGTGGAGGTCATGTGGTGGGTGCTTCTGAAAAACCTCCGAATCCACTAAGATGGATTTTTGGGAAGAAGGGTAAATAATTATTCCCGCCGTGATCTTTAGCCGTCTGTTTATTTCGAAATATACAGTGTTTTATAATTTTGTTTGTGATATTACTCTATTGTTAGTAATATAGTATGCCTGGTGAATTGAAAATTTACCCATTATTTAGGTGAAAGCTACGTTCATAAAATAATCGTATCGTATGAGTTATTGTACATGAAAGCCGAAATATAAAGAGTGACATTTTTCATATTCCACTGTCATTTGAATTATCTATGGAGTGTGGACTATGAACATAAAATCTGTCAAATATTCGAAGAAAATTTTGCTAGTATTCATCTAAACAACTAACCTAAAATGACCACTTGAAATAAAATTAAACATCTTATATACCAAAATAACACAATTAAAAATCAAGAGACCAAAGTGAAACAGATCACCGATCTACTTTACCCTTGTGTGTAAGTGATGAAGGCTATACAACATTTTTTTGGGTAAGTGAAGGCTATAAGACATTACAAACACATAAATTGCAAATTTCTTACCTCATTGATGTGGTAGCATTCTAAATATTATTCTTTGGAACTTTTGTTTATGGAATGTTACCCGGGACATGTTATGTGCCTAATGACTAAAAATCCACCACCTATCTTGGTGGTCTAATGGTCGTCCTGGTAATGATCATCTAGGTTTGATTAACAAGGAGTAGACCGATGACTTACTTCTAGCGATTTAACGGGACTGAGTTCAAATTATGACTCTAGTTGCGCTTAGGAACAACAGTGGAGCCCATCGTGTAGGCCCCTCTCGAGGACTATTCCAATGAGTTCGAGCTGTTATGATTACGATTAGAAAGAGTTTTCACGTCAATTGCTGCATCGCAATCCTTTTCAAATAACTAAAAAAATGACTAAAAAATTGTTAAATTTATGTTTTTCGCTTGTAATTACATACCAAATTTGAAATACATGTAACTATCCAAAGACCACAAATAACACGCCGGGTGAACAAGAGTTATTTGCATCAAACTTACAACTTTTGAATAGTTACCCCGAATCTTCCCATCCGATTTGTTTTGTCGAATTCAATTCCTTTCTCGTATTAAAAAGTAGACAATTCTATGGTATTGAAAAAAAGGGCACCATACCATCATATACAACATTTTGGGGGTCTTTATACATAACTTTTGATATTAAGTTACACTTTTTTGAGGTCAGTCGGAGTCTTTTGAAATTTTTGAAATTGTTAAACAATTATCCACTTTCAGGTTAGATTTTGTGACTAACACGTGATTTTTTTTTAATAACTAGAGAAACAGCGATATTCAAATGCAAGACCTCCTACCTTGATAACATGTTAAATAATTATCTATTCTAAAAGTTTAAACTGTTAGAGAGATGTAACTTGAATATTCATACTTCAACATGAATCAATCGTAAAAATCCTTTTAAAAGTTGTAAACTAACTGAACAAAAGATATAAATTTTTATATTGTACCTTCAATCCTACAATGCTTGTGGCATTACCTAGTGCCAAGTGCCTCTCGTAATTTTAATTCACTAAAAGCACGATTTCACCAGTATTGCTTACGATTTAGCGGCGTCACAAAAATTCGAATTAATTTCATTAACTAAGGTGTAATTAGTCATAAATTTAGCTTTTTGACTAATAATTTTGCCACTAATTCTGCGGTAGAAAATGTTTGGTGCCAAAATATTTTAGAAAAAATCATATAGCCAACAACTTTTTTTTATGACATTGTCGCTACATTGCATCTAGAGCAATACTATAGTGATCTAATTTAGGAAAAAATGTTCATTACGGCGGTGATACTATATAACAATGTTGATGTAATATTACTAATCAATAATATCAAAACAAATAAATAAATGGACCCTACAAAAATTAATAATCAACTCTTTATGTAAGAAAATAACTACCTACTTTTTCTCCATGTAAGCCAGTGACTACTCAAGTGGAATTCCCCTTACTCACTTAGTATTTTATCATTGGTTGGTAATACCACGTCAGCATTGTTGACGTAGTATCAACATTGCATTTGTGATGGTGCTCAAAATCAGCTAGACCAAACTACATAATAGTCTAGGGTATGGCCTCTAGAGTGCGTGAATGTGAGTGGTTCATGCGAGTCGAAGGATTAAAGTTACGTCAACTGTAATAAAAGTTCTTGTTTCTCAGGGATTGTGTTACTTGGGAAAGAAGATTGTTGTTATAAGGTGTTTGACTAGGAGCTTTTTACAGAATATTGCCTAGCTTCCGGCTCAGTCTCCTTCTTTGTGTAGTCGTTAACCATTTATACATCCACTCGTTAGGGTTTTATGGTGATTCCTTTTTTGACTAATTATGTAGTCCCTCGTCATTTGTTCTGTTTCTAGGTCTGTCATCCCTAACGTTTTTTACACCCACTACTCCTCTAACGGAATACGTGAGCCATCTCCATTATCGGCGAATATTCGTTTGTTAGGATTATTAGGTACTTCCTTTGTCCACGTGTCGTGGTACAACTTTTGGTGAATAGCTTGGTGTCGTGCTCCTAATTCCCGATCTGGTATTTGTATCGAGCTTGTCGATGTCGAACTACCACCTATTTCAAGTTGGTTTGTTGCGGGCTTCAAGGGGGCTGGGTCGTAATTCAACTCAGGCCAATGAACACTGTTTGAATGAGGCACTTGAGTTGTCTTAAATGAACCCAAAAGATTTTGGGCTTTAGAAGAGGTTCAAACTTAAATTCATTATCATCATATTGAATATTTTCCCTTAATTTAGGGACTTAATCAAAAAACTAATTCAATATAACTAATGAATTAATTGTGAATTTCGGAGGTAGATGTAATTCACCTTTAATCTAACCGTTATAATTAATTAAATTCACAGATTAAATCTAAATAGAATTTTTCTTACTCTGTTTCAAACTATTTAGTGGCAACATAACCACTTGTCATTAGGCACCAAAAAAGTTGCAAACACTCTTAAAATTCATATATTCGTTAAGAAAAGGTTCAGTAAAAGTGATATTGACGAGTCTCATCACGTATGAAAGAGATGTGAATGTAATATAAAGGCACTCCTTCAGTAATTTGTTGCGACATATGGAAAAAGACGACGGCGTTTAATACTGCACCAAAACGACAAAGTTTAAAGAATCAGGTCCCCCTTTTCGCCAAAATGGCAACTCCCTCAAATACCTCTCTCTCGCTCTCTCTCTCTCGCTCTCTAGATTAATGGCAACTTCGACATCATCTTCGAAGGGATGGTTGAGCAATCTCTCAACATATTCATGCCGCATATATTTCTTCCTCATCATCCTTCAAGTCCCGCTGTTCAGGTAAAAACTCATTTCTCAATTATATAATTTCCCTAATCTTCAGTACCGTTTGGATATATCTTTGAACTTTTCATTCACCTCTACTCTTAAACAATGTACGGTTGAACCAGATTGATTATATAGTAATTCCACATTGTTATTCAATTCGGGTTTCACTTAAACTTGTTAATATCCATGTTTAGCTTGTGGGCATTCTTTTTTAGGATCAATCATTAAACCATTTATTTATCTTTACTCTTGATTAGCCCATTTAAGGTTGATTTAAACTTCAATTATGTGGAAATTACATGCTTCTTGTTGAATTTGGCTTCACTGAAACTTGTTAGTTGTTATGTCTCAGCGTCTGAATATTCCTTCTATGAATAATCTCTGAATACCCATTAGCTCTCCTCTAAACTATCAATTTTAAGGATGACTTAGATTTAATATATGGTGATTTCAAGCTCTCATTGAATCGGGGTTTCTCTATAATTTGTTTGATGGGACTCTTCTGAAATGCCCTATGATGAAGACACGTGTCCTCGGTTTTGCTAAAACACTGTTGCTTAGATCAAGCACCATCGGCGAACGAATGTCCTCGCCCCCGAGGTACCCTCATATAGGATTATGCGTTCAGTATATTTTACAACCAACACGTGTCCTCGGTCACCTATGTACCTCGGTCGCATACCTCCCTCGGTCCCCGAGATGAGCCTTTCCTCGGTGCCGAGAGTTACTCCGTCCTGGACGCTTCCTCTACGCCAGGATAAGCTATTGACGTAAAGGTTACTAGCCTAGGCTAGTCCAGGCTGCTCATCATGACCTCGTCTTACACAAGTAATGTCAGAACATACTGGAATACAGAGGTCACAGCCAATAGGGGATGGACGCGTGGCAAATGATGTCACATCAAAGACAGACAAACTGGACGCCGTTGCTGACACGCGGCTTGGGAAAGCAAATAATTAATTGCGCCCTTCTGTTGATGAGACCGCATTCAATGCGGTAAGGCTCGGAAATGAAAGACAATAAATGCTCCTATTACAGAGCATTTATTGCATCCTCCCCGAGAGGAGCACATTGTACCGTCGGCATCCCGACGACTCAGCATTGATTGCTCGGGACCCCGAGCAGTTAATTAGAGAAGACATTCCTCATCAGAATCAATGCACACGCTACCTGTGCCTAATGATCACCTACTGACCACACTGACAGCAATCATGGGCTTTTAAGGTATAAATACTCCTTGCAAAAGACTAAGCGGGTATGCAAACAATAAACTCTCTAGTACAATACGTTTTTCTCAGTGTTTTCTCCTTCCTCTCTCTCACTCAAAGACTGACTAGACCGTCGGAGGGGATACGCCGGAAAACACTCCGGCGCCCTTCTAACTTGTTCTTCTTTGTTCCAGGAACCCCTTTCATCCTCACAGGAGCGTTCTTCCTTTCCCAGGATTTCCCGTTGCCGTTTCGGGTTACTACCATACCTTGTAGGCTGTTCCAAGCAGCGCGCTTGTTCACTCAACCGGCCCACTCGAAGTTCACCAAGGGAGAGACCTGTTCCCGTTCTTTTTATATTGTGCAGGATCTTGCACGCACATTGTTAATAATCATGTTTTGGCAATTGGGTTTTTTTGTTTGGCTCAATTTGTGAACTGTTCATGTCAACCGTATTGGTCCTGGGTTCGACTGAAACTTTTTTAATTTCTATGTTTGCTGTACCTGTAATTTTTTATGTGGCAACAAATGAGAATGAATATATTAGGCTAGCTCTAAAAAGAGTTGCTTGAGGCTAACTTGTAAAATGAGGTAATCGGAGTATGTCAGTTTTAGTGCAGAACTCTTGGGTTATATTACTCGTATTCTTACCTGCCATGTTTTCAATGCTTGATTTTCCAAGATGGTGACTCAAATGCGTAGGATAAGATTATGTCAATTTTCCATCAATAAGATTGTTTGTCAATCGATGTCGAAGAACAGGCCATGTGTATTGATCACCGCTAAATAACTAGTGAATGAAGCAATATCAAGTATCATCATGTTTTGGTAAATTTTGAACAACTAGGGGTGTCATTTTCAAGTCAAGACATTGCTTAAGAAGTTAAATGTGTTGCAAGTCTTGTTTCACCATAATCTCTAGATTTCATCCAAGGAACTAAATTTCATTTCGAAGGTCGAAATTTTCAAAACGTTTCCGTTTTCATAGAGACTGAAATAAATCATTGATTGAATATCAGAATTCTTATGTTTAGAGATGTTTCGAGGTGTTTCGGTAGGTTTCAAGGTATTTCGGCATGTTTTGACCTATGTTTCGAAATATTTCGACTAATATTTTGCAAATAAATTTTTTAATTTTTATTCGTTTCCATCTTGTTTCTGAAACATTACCGAAATATTTTCATTTCCAAGCTCACTAAAATTGTACACCAAAACAAAACTTTGATCCTTGATTTCATCTGGTCCATTTGCATGCATTGGTCTGAATCCCTTCATCGAAAACACACAACACATGCAACCTTGTCTCCCAACATACACAAATGTTGTATTGCTTTCTTAAATGTACTTAAAAGGTGGAAAAATGTCTTTAAGAAACTCTTATGTTTTTGTCTTTTGGAGTCGCATAAATGTTTATATTTGGATTTGAGATACTTATGACATAATCTCATTTGACAACGATCAACTTTTTGAGGGGTGAGAAACCTTTTTAGTTAAAGTTATGTTAGATCTTGGAATGGGGCTTCAGGTTATGGGAGGAATCACACAACAAAAACCCAAGCAGCAGCAGAAAAGTGAGGAGTGCGGATCAGTCTAGGATATGAGAGAGTAGCTTTTGTATTCTGACAACTTTAGTACACAACTAAGGGTTGTTTTCGTGATAGGAAATGGGCTGAGATTAAGAGGAGGGAAGAATTGTTGGGGAAGTAGGGAAAGTAAGAAGGTACGAAAATAAGCAATTAGTTGAGAGTTTGTATTAGAAAGTCTTAGAGTGGCCTTTAGTGCAGTAGTAAGGTAGTTTCATTGTGACTTGAAAAATGTTAAATAGATTTAAAAACTTTACTTGATGAATTACTACCATTGAATAGGTATTGGGACCCACAGTTAAATGAATAATAAATATAACAACTAAATCATCGTGTCAGATTTTTAAGTCTATATAGTTTTGCTCTTGTGACTTAGGCATCAAGAGTTTGAGTCACGAAAACAGCTTCTCTATTTGCAGGGTGAGGTTGTGTACATCTACCTTCCCTAGACTTTGCAGTGACAGGAGCCTTGTGTATTGGACTGCCTTTTTTATTGCATAGGAAGGTCTACTGTTCAACTTTTGTTCCCATTTTGCCATGAAGGCTTGGGTATTTACATATGGATTCGGTTAAGAGGGGCCTCGAAAGAGGCTAAGGGATGTATTTATGGCAGCTGAAACGTCGATATGCGGGAAGTAGACTTGCCATATCATCAGAGGATAGACGCTTTTTTCCCTTTGCTTGCCTGGCTTCATTCCCTTGACATGGAGAAGGTTAAGAGGGGCCTTCGAGAAAAAAAGGGAAGATGTATACTCCCTTTAACTCGAGTGCTATTAGGTCCATTTCTGAGATGGAGAACATGGGTGGAATGGAAGATACTAATGCGGGAAACATTGGTTTGACAATTGAGGGATGAGGGTGATGTTAGCTGAAGCGTGTGTAGAATGATTGTCTATCTATCCTAGTTCCGAACTAGGTCATGGCATAGTGCCTCAAATTGGAACTCTCAGGTCATGACGGATCCCTTATTTCAATGTACCAAGCCACTCGCTTTCTAGGTACTTAGAGGGTACGTATTGATTGGTGGCTACAATGACCTTGTGGAGATATTTTGGTTTCTACTTTTTGAGGCCAGGGACACCAATTTGCTGACCGTGAGTCACATTTTTGTAAGGATGGTTAGTGGAGACATAGTTATCAGAATTTCACTAAATCCCTGATGACCCCTGATCTGAGTACACCGATCCTAAAAGGGGCTGGTTCGCAATCCAATCACAAATATGTATGATCCCAAATTATAATATTAATCCTAAATTGATTTGGTTTGGACCATGTTGTACAAATATAAAATACATATTAATTGATTTCGTGAATATTGATTTATAATTATATATTATTTTAGATAATAGAAAATCAGCACTAATGTAAAATAAATTTTAACTAATTTAGTGTTTATGGATATTTTATGATATGATTTTATATAGTAGTGAAAATGATCTAACTAAGAGTTCCAAAAACGAATTGCAAACCAAAACACTGTATCAGCTAAGCTTACCTCCATTTTTCCGCGTACCTAATAAAGTGTTTTATCACGTAGTTGTATCCATACCACGTACTAAAGTAATCTACGATCCTGGTAACATTGAGTGGAGGGCCACGTACTAATTGTTGCACAATGACTACCCCAGACAATAGATGACCGCGTAGTAGTGTTTCATACAACCAAACAAGGATATAGGATTACATTGGATATTCGTTCAATAATATGGCAGATAGTGAGAAGCCACTCAAGATTGCCTTATCACACTACACCATTCTGATTTCAGTGTGGAGCCTCAGAAGGTGTCCCATGAAGGAGAGCAAGAGCAGAGGGCAATCTACATAGTTGTAGTGTACTGTAGCCTCGTGCCATTTTGTAGTGTGGTCAGGCCACATTTAAGAATCTTTGAGAATTCCTAGGTCTTACGATGTAGATAATCTTAGAGTCCCATTTTCATCATGCAAGATATTCCTAGATGGTCACTAATCATTCTAGGACTAGAGCCATTGTTGAGTTGCGATAACTATGCCATATTTGATATATGCATGACTCTGACCGGCAATTGGTAATTTTAAGATCCTCTTTGTGGTTGTCATCTTTATTTGGAAGTTGGGCACCTCAAATGCCTAAATGGTGCATTCCCTAGGAGACGCATTGGATTTCCCTTTGCATTTCGCCCCTTTCAGTATTGTCTTTTCCTTAAAGTTAATTTCACCATCATCTTTATTTGATGAATCTCTTTTTCACTTGCCTTTTATCATGACAACACTGTCAGTACAAGTGCATTATTGAGATAAACTAGTCAGAAAAAAATAATATTTGTGTTTCTTTTCTTTTATTGTTTTACCAGGGTCCCATGTAGATCTGGTATATGTACAACTCCTATGCAGTTCACGTCTTCCCAGTTGATTGCAAGTGAGATCTTTCCTGTTTCTGTTGTGAAGGCACTTCTCTACCCTGGGGCCATTGCAAGTGGCCTCATTCATAACATGACTGTTCCAAGCTGGGGTAATCTTTTAAATATCTATAATTTGACTGAAGTGAAGGAGGCCCCTGCAGTAACTGATCTACAGCGTTTGGAGGTTTGGTTTTGTAACATCTCCCTCTTCCTTGTTTTTGCTCCAATCTGATTAAATGTTCTGATATATAATTTGACCTCGTCATTTACTGTTACTATCAGTTGGCAACTATTTTTGGACCTGACAAATAGTCACACTAATATGGCTAGAGTTGAATATGTATTAGATAATTTTGAGCTGGCAGCATCTGTGCTATTGTCATATAATTTTCACTCCTATTAGCCATTGATTTCTACCTGTGCTTGCATTTTCATTTATATTTAATATCTGAATCAGTAGTAAAATTGTTTTTCGATTTATTGTTATCATTGGTTTGTCAATTCTTATATCCCATAAATCTTTTGCTCCATTAGCTCGCAAGACTTTAAATATATCAGGTCTGAACAATACCCTGAGAGATCTCGAAATATACACTGATTATAATTCCTAGTTTGGAGTTAGGTTGTTTAACCTAGTTTAGGTGAACTTGTAGCTACTGGGATATAAATGCAACATCCTTTTAGTAATTTCAAGAAAGCATACTTCAGAATTAGTTACTATGCACATCTCTCTTTTAAAATTTGCTTTTCTTTAAGTTTGGGCTGCCAAAATTTACATGTGAACATAACATGTTTCCATGACCATTATTAAGAAATCCAAAATCATCTAAAGATTCAAAATGGCAGCTATCCCTTTTTAGTATCATTTTGTACATCATTTTATAGGACCCTAGATTCTTCCAAAACGCTTCTCTTGGACGACTTTTTTTTTTGCTTATGCTTATGGTGCCATTGAGTCCTGCTTCTATTTTCCGTTTTCTAGATTCTGCATTTTGATTCATTCTCCAAATAATTTCAGTTGCTTTTTACTTGTTATGCTTTTGCTCCCCCCTTACCTTGTATGAATGATGCTGAATGATTGGAAGTCACTTACAAATATTTGATATTGTTGTGCCTTATAGGCTTGGGAAATCATACCTGTCAAACTTGTGAACACTGTTTTTTTATTTGCTCGAAACTTGAAATCTTGATTGTTTACTGATTGTTGGTTTCGAGATAGTGTTCTTGTGCATGGTGGTCCCTTTGTGCACTTGTTCTGATTTTATCCATCACTAATCGTGTTCGTTTGACCAGGTTCTTGCAGGAAGCTACTTCTCTGTGGCAGGAGCAATAATTGGAATTCTAAAACCTGGGAGGATGAGCATGTTTGGGACACTACTGATTATTTGGGGCCTTGTCAAGGAAGGGATCCTTGGAAAGCCAGTGAATACTGACACTTCCAAATCTGTTTTCGTCTACCCAACAATGCTGATTGCCCTGGTGTGTGCCTTAACTTCTGTAAAGTACGACGTGAAGAAGGTTATGAGAAGTGCTCCAGCCAGACCCATTGCAAAACCTCTGCAGAGCTCTTCAAAATCTAAGCTGAAATGAGTATGGTTATGACACTTAAAGACTAGAAATGAATCTCATTCCTGATCTTTTTCCGTATTGTCAGGGATAGTGAGTTCAAGCTGTGTATGTTCTTCCAAAATTTACTCCAATACTTACTGATTTCCAGCAGAAACAGAAAATCATACAATTTGTCTTGAGTTTACACTTTGATCGGTTGGGGTTTGGTAAAACTTTTTGTTATCTGGTATGCAAAGCTTCCGTCTTGCCATTTTGTGAATCATCAAGGCTCTAGAAATTTTTGGAGACAAATCTTAGTAACTAGGATTGAAGTCTTACACTCCCATCCTCGGCAAGTTAACAAAATGGTGCTCAAACTAAATGATGGACCACTCATACTTTATTTCATTTGTTGAAATTTTTACCCTTATACCCGTTATAGAGGGCACATATATTAATTGAATGACCAGACATAAAACATTTGCGGTTTATTGCTACCAAGCAAAATTTGTGTTGTTGTACACTTGTATGACATAATTTATTGTACTGAAAGAGAATTGTGTCTATTCCTTAATGTCGCAAAACAATGAAGGGGTTCAAAAACATGCATGCAGTTTTGACTTAAGCAGGTTCACCATTGGTGAATGCATCACCACACAGCCAACAATCTCCATTGATGAGATGTTCTTATCTCACAGACTAATATCATGTACAAAGTACACATTTCCTCTATATGTCAGTGACCTGTTCTTAGCCCCAACACACCACAAATGGCCTTGCAGCTCCAAAACTCCTTTCATTCCAGCCATTTCCCACACAAACTTGAAGAGCACAAGAGCCTTGTTCAATTGCTTCACCCCACACCAAACCATATTCTCCTGATCTGATGTCAAAATTTTCCCCATACACAAACAAAAACCATTCCCTCGACCACACTCATAAACCCCACCACAAAGTTCAACTTCAATATCTCTAACACTGCCATAGAGATAGTACAACAGAAGTGTAAACAAGCATCTAGAAGAGTGACCCAATGTCTTTGTGAGCTTCTTCTGCACTAAACTCTCTTGATGCCTATTCTCCCTGTACCCAATATTTTTATCTATCAAAACATCCTTGATCTGGGAAAGCCCTTCTTTGATCACCTCGAGCTTCGAAACAAATAAAAGAAACTCCTTTTCATCTCTCAAGCAATTTATAAGGTCATTGAACATCTCAAGAACATCTTCCCATTTAGGGGAAGCGGGTGAATCTGCAACTTTTGCAGGTGCAAGGCGCATCCATGACACTGAATCAGGGTCATAAGAAATTGCCTTGTCTAAGAATTTTAGACAACTAGTGACAATTTGCTGACCCATTATAATCCCTTTTGGCGGGCACGGGTGATTTAGAGAATCCATGTTAGATTTCAATCCATTTAATACCTCTTCAAGTGCACCAGTCCATACCCGATGCTGTGTAACCTGAGGGCAAATTGTGAGACGAACTAACTTCCTCTGTTGAGCAGAAACATTCAAAAAGTTACTCACTTTGGTGAGTGAATTCACAGACATTGGTTCTCTTTCGCTTGATCTACTGAAGCAGAGAGGTGGTCTGCATTTTGCATCAGCAAATGAAGCTGAAATATTCTTCTTGAGTGTTTCCTGCACCGATGGACACCCAATAAAGTCCCTGGCAAAGGACTTAAACGTGTGCATTTTGAGCTCAAGACGCTCATCGGCGACTGTCGAATGATCATTTATATTAATTAGCCTTCCATCAATCAAGTCCACATCTTTTAACAAGAGGGTTAATTTTGCTAGCTTTGGAAATGCCTTTTGGTACCATTCGAAAGGTAAAGGGTCTTCATGAGATTCTTCTGAGCAGTGATAGGACACCATACTCAAACCAAAAACTCTGTTTTGATTGGATCTCAGATTCTTTGATCCACAGAGGAAGTATTGCACACGTCTATAGGCCATTATTAACACGCCAAAGCAACCATAAATTGTGCGACTCCCATCAGCAAATCTTCTCAGTGCTTGCTTCTCAGATTCCTGCAAGTGGGTTTTCAGTTTTCCAGTCTGAAACTAATCCTGCAACATCAAAGCCCAAATTAAAGGTTAACGCGTCGGGGCTGTGATTCTTTGATACATTTTATCAAACACATGTTGGGCATTTTCTTCTCCAAATAATTGAAACCATTGATGAAGCCAAGGGAGAATGAAAGTCACAGATCATACTGCCAGCTTTATTTATTTTTTTTGGGTACTCTGGATATGTGCCAGTCCACAGACTCCCAGGAGTATTCCTCCTCAATACCGCACAACTACTTGGCAGGTATTTACGTTGGGGTCGAAACTAAGGGGTTCTTTGGGCGTTGAAGACTAGATTTAGCCCCTACGACCTATAATAATTATGGAGGCTCAAACCCATGCATTTAAAAGAGAGAATTCGAGTTCTTACCCACCGGCCCACCAGGTCGTTGGTGCCAGCTTTATTTCTGCAACTGAAAAAAGCGTCTATGCCAGCACAAAGAAGGTCTGTTGGACGAATTGCTTATGAAGTTCTGGTTGGGTTAATTTCTTAATGAAAATTAAAGCAAGAGTGGTTGGTTTTTTTTGATGGACAAACAAGAAATGTAGAGCTATAGAGATAGCACATGGAGGGCACTTGCCTTAGCTCAACATTCGTTTCCTGAATGTATTGGGCGTTGGCAATGCGTGCTGTTGCTAAATTCTATTGTTTAAATTTTGGGGTGAGTTATTAAACGTTCCTGCCATTGGCTTGTGGGTTAGACTCATAATTGAGTCGAATTACTTCAAATCGTCTTAATAAGGCTCGATTTGAACTCGAACAATTTTAGTTTGAGCTCGAGCTCGCAAAACTCAGCTCATTTATATTTAAAATAGTCGAATTACTCGGGCTAAACTTGAGTTCAATTTATTTTGGGCTCAGTTCAGGTTCAGCTAATTTTCTAAACTAGTCAGAGCTTAAATAATTTTTTAAACTCATTTAAAAAAATAAGCTCGACAAATTTGGTTGATTCAAACTCACAAAACTTGACTCGATTATAAACCCTAGTCACAAGTTCCTAACGAATTAAGGCTATGATGTTCTCTCTCATAGAACATGAGGCTATTTACGTAATTTAGACACCATCAAATGTATAAGCCACGATTTCCTTTCTTTTTTTGGGGGAGGTTTGACATGTTAATTAAGAGTGTCAATTCAATTGTAGAGTGTTGCAATCATCATGAATATTTATCAATGTTGATCAAATCTATTTAATCAATAGTGTTTGATGTCTTCGCACTTGTTCAATCTATTTATTAATTGTGTTACATTTGGATTAAATTGTATACTTTTGAGTGGGGGATAGGACTTGACGTGCTAATTAAGAGAGTTAATTGAGTTTATATTATATTCGAATTGTGTTGAATATTAATTAACTTTAATTCATAAAATTAATTAATCTTATCAGTTATATTGAGATTAATTAGACATGTTCATTACTTATTTCACATTCGGATAGAAATACATAGTTTGTGAATCTGAAAATTGAAAACTCTCCTTAATCTCTCAACCAAATTCTCCACTCATATTCCCCCTTGCAAAAATAACTATTCGCTCGATTCAAGCACAAGCAAATGAAGTGAAATTTTTTTCTAACTCTACAAGGACTCTTACGATATTGGTATTAAGATAAAAAAAAAAAAAAAGAAAAAAATATAAATTTTCTCCATAGAACATTACTAATACAGACTAGTCATGCATGTATTGTATTATTTATGCTTTTAAATCTACTCGTTTATTGTTTTATTTTTAGATTAGATTTTCACGTAAAAAACTCCATAAGAATGTCATAGTGATATCCGAACCACTAAGGATACCTTGGTAATTTTACCAAAAAACTCAGAGTTAGTGCAATTTATGAGTTATTTTGGTATTTTTCTCCCAATGCATGTCCAATTGTCATAGCACACTTTTTTTTCTCCTACAAGGCTCTATGGTCGATTGTTCTCCTTTAAATAATGTGTCTCGACTCCCCCTTCGAGATTAGCTCAAACTCGACTCCATTTTAATCTCACAAGAATCTAGGTTTGAATAAGTTTTTTGTTTGTAAAAATAATTCTTATTTTATTGTTAGAAAAAAACCCATATTTAAAAGATGAACAACTCAAACTTATTCTCAAATAACTCCAAATCATGTACACTTTTATTTCTCTCATCTCTTTTCTTGTAGGTTTTTGAAAAACTTGAACTTCTAGGATTTGATTTGATGGTGGATTATACGAATTTTGGAATATTTTTGCTGAGAAAATTATTGTTTTAGAATTGATAATTAAATTCTAGTGTTTAGTATAAAATTTTTGCACAAAAAATTGATTGATTTTAGCTCGAATACTCATAAGTTTCTTTTGAGCTGAGCTGAGTTTAGGCAAAACTTTCAACTTGGAAGTTGAACTCATTTGGAGTTCAAACTCGATTACTTACAAACCAAACCCATAATCTAGTGCGACAAGTCTGACCCGATTAACACCCTTGTTGATCAAACGCAACTTATAGTCTCAAAAAGGCACTGTGAAAACAGAAAAACAAGCTAATTAATAACAAAAATTATGGTGCAAATACTAGAAGAGCTAAAAAAAATTAAGCATTGTGATATGACCAACCATCAAACCTCAAATATATGCAAGCCACACCTTTTTAGAGGATTGCACAACCTTCGCAGTGGCAAAATCGCCGACTGTACTTGTGAAATCCGAGCATGCATATATAGTATGTAAATAAAAATTTATTTATTTTTTAAAAAATATTAAAATTAAAATTTTGAATTTAAGATAATTACAGAAATGCCATTGCACATTTCTTCTAAGCAGCTGCCAGGCAGTGGGAGAAGGTTTCCCATCATTCTTTAACACTCCAGAAGGCTTGAAGGGCTGCTGAAGGCCTCTATTGAGTATTTGGATCAGATATAATCGTTTGGAGGAGAGAGAAAGTGAGGAGAGAATTTAGAGAGAGAGAGAGAAAGTGTGAAGATCAAATTTTATAAGAAAGAA